AAGGATGCCCATCTATAAAAAAAGTGGAAGGATGCCCATCTCTAAAAAAAGTGAAAGGATGCCCATCTCTAAAAAAAAACCTGGAAGGATGGCCATCTTTCATAAAACGTGGAAGGATGCCAATCTATGAAAAACGTGGAAGGATACCCATCTCTAACACTAAGGTTTAGAATATTTGTATTTGGTGTGCTCTGTGTCTAGCCTAGAGATAGATCCTGTAAACTAGATGCATCTCACGTCCCCTATTCATACATTCTTAAATAAACCCTTCTACATGGACACTTTACACTGAACATTGACATTAAAGAGGGAATGTCCGTTCTCATTTAAAATCGTGTGTTGACATTAAGAAGAAATAGGTTTGTTAGACCTAACTATAGTAAACTGGACATCTAAAAACTGAAATGTCTAATATCCAAGCTGCACTGCTCATTGACATTAACTAGATAATGACTTTTGTCTATTAACCATTTACTACATCATATGAACACTGTACAATGAAGAGATTGATAAGTTCAAAAAAGAAATCCTAACGTGTGTTTAAGCTACAGTGATAACCAGAAAACTTTGGGATAGGAAGTCGACTTTTAGATTCAAATTTTGACTTAAAATAGTCAAGTGAAAATGAGGCACACCAATTGTGCAGTGTTAGCAGTCCCATTTTACTTAATAATTGATTTAATTGCTAACTAGTGAAGCTATTTGCTTTGTAACAACATCAAATGCATCTTTATGTACAACCAATCACTGTATCTAAAAAAGAAGTCATTTAGACCTTTTGAACACTTGGAGTTAAAAAATGCTCGGTTATTTTAATCTTCGTATCGGCGTGTATTCCCTCCTCCCGTCCAGTGTCCATCCTATAGGTCGGCAGAGACACAAACCCAACCAATAGCAGAAATTCTGGGTAGTTTATTTTAATGGTTCTTCAGTGTGCAAAACTAACTTTAAAGTAAGAATCTATGATTTTGATAGGCATAGAGAAAAAACTCTTCCACAGTGAAAACAGTGCACATTGACTCCTTTTGTTGCATGAGCCTAAATTACACTGTGAAATTTTGTGTTCAAGAACATTTAATGTGAGGCCACTGTTAAAAATATTTTCAGAGCATGAAAGACAAGATTTAACATGTTTCAACACTCAAGTTAACCTAGTGAACATTGTATGAAGTTTTGTCGCATTTTGTCTTTCATCCATTCAGAGAGTATGTTAAAACATCTAAAGTGACATGAACACTCTTTTGTTTGTTTGTATTCCCCCCTCTCCCCTTGCCCCCCCCATCGTTTAAAAATCTTATAATCATGAATATGTTTACAATGTCCGTTTTGTTTTCAAACCATTGAGAGTCACGATTTCCTACGGATGCACTTCACGTTAAAGAGACTATCTGCTGGGATGAAAATTAAAGGGACTGCATGCTTTGCTAAACGTTAAAGGGACTCTACCCTGTATTTAAACCTACAGCTGTGCTTAAATTGTCCTTAGCGTTAGGGTTATAGGCGCTGTACTCTCTGCACACAACGTAAATTGACTTGAAACTTTATCTAGATATTCAATGTCTTTGCAATACATGTAAATTTAACTGCTAATCAAAATAATAATTTTTACAACAAATTTGGTAAGTGTACAGCTGCGGTTGTCAATGAATTTGATGAATAAACTATATATGAAAGATCGTCTTCAAAGTCGATCTCATACTTTGTGGGTAACCCTGTACTCTATGATTTTCTACTCCGAAAACCGTCCCTTTCCTGGGATTGGATGATTAGCAGGATGAATTGTTTACCCGGAGCTTCGGTGTTAAACCGTGCCAGGAGCCAGGACGTCTTTATACAACATAAAAAAAAGTAGGATACACGTATACAATTTATTCATGGATTCTAGAATTTTAGAAATTATACAACTTCAAAGTTAGAGCAGTTTAATTCTAATAAAAGAAATCTTTACTCTAATGGCGTGGGAAACGGGAGGGGAAAGGAGGCATTTCATATTATACAAACAAATGCTCTATTATTTCTAAAAGTGGATCACACAGAATCAAGAAATCAAGAACTATTTAGATCAGATCTGATCAGATCAAGAATTAGATCAGTTCAGACCAGGTTAAGAACTAGCTCAGTCCAGACTAGATTAAGAACTAGATCAGTTCAGACCAGATGAAGAACTAGATCAGTTCAGACCAGATTAAGAACAAGATCAGCTTAGACCAGATCAAGAACTTGATCAGTCCAGACCAGATTAAGAACAAGATCAGCGTAGACCAGATCAAGAACTAGATCAGTTCAGACCAGATTAAGAAATAGATCAGTTCAGACCAGATTAAGAAATATACCAGTTGATCAGATCAAGAAATAAATCAAGAAATAGATCAGTTCAGACCAGAACAAGAACTAGATCAATTTAGATCAGATCAAGAAATAAATCATTTCAGACCAGAACAAGAACTAGCAAAATTAGATCTGACCAGTTTATACTAGACCATTTCACACAAGATCAGTTCATACACGATCAGTTCATATAAGATCAGTTCATACAAGATCAGTTCATACAAGATCAGTTCATACAAGATCAGTTCATACAATATCAGTTCATACAAGATCAGTTCATACAAGATAGTTCATACAAGATTAGTTCATACAAGATCAGTTCATGCAAGATCAGTTCATACAAGATAGTTCATACAAGATTAAGGACCCGAACAGGAAGCAGATTAGACCCGCTCAAGAACTAATAAGATCAGTTCAGATTAAGAACCAGGATCAGATCAGATTAAGAACCAGATCAAGGATTTGATAAATTGAAAAGTTATAGGAAAAAGCTTGATAAAACCAACATTTATTCAAAATTACATCCGAGTACGTCCGAGTGTATCAAAAGTTGCATAAATTTTCTAAACTGGGTCGACTTAACCGTGTTGCATCGCCATGGCCTTCGATTTGACCTAAAAATGTCACTTCTCAAAATTATTATTACTTTTGGCGTGAGAGCTTTCAACCCTTGGATCACTGTGTATTAGTTCTGGTTCTAATTATATCACCAAAGGTTCCGATAAGAAAGCAGCAAAGACAAAAACTGTCTAAAGAGTTTATGTTTAATGGGATCTATGCTTAGCTCTGTGGTATCCAGGGTTCTCCTCGGTTACTATTAATGTGAAATTAATAACAGGGGGCGACTAGTATTTATCTGATTTAAAGCATGATACTTGGGAGATAATTCTAATTAGGTAATTAGTATATATAGTAATTAATCTCTAGATTACAACCTGTTAATGAGTTTATGCTTTAATATATACCCAGACAGATATATATTTAATATTATAGAATTCAGGATCTTCGGAGTTCAAGGAATAGAGGTGAATGAGGGGAGGGGGGGGGGAGAAACCAGAGATTTTACATGTGTACCCTAAAGCTAAGAACCACTCTAGGAAAAGTAGTGGTTGACCCATTCCAATACCCAAATACATAAAAAGTGTCCAGAACGTTTTTAGACAAAATTGGTTTAAGGAGTCGGCAAACTAAATCATATATCATCTTTCATCGAACCCACGCCTCTTTAAAGGGACTGTAAACATAGTTTCAAGGTATTCTCCATTTCTAGAATGTCAAATTCCGACTCCATTTGTAGAATGCCAAACTCCGACTTCATTTCTACCTTTTTCTGATCAAGGATGATATCTAGAAATTTTAGAAAAATCAAGAAGAAGACCCAGTCTTAAAAATCGATGCAACTTTTCATAACGGTCTGGATCTATGTGAGGTTGTTGATAGTAAAAACATTAAGAATAAGAGAGGAGGGAGAGAAAAGAGATGGGATGGGAAAGAAAAAGGGGGTGAGGAAGTTGAGAGAGGAAAGAGAGGGGATGATGTATAAGAAGAATGGAGAGAGGAAGGAGAGGGGATGATGAAGAAGAAAAACGGAGAGAGGAAGGAGAGGGGATTATGAGGAAGAGGAATAGAAAGAGGAAGGAGAGGGGATGATGAAGAAGAAGAATGGAAAGAGGAAGGAGAGGGGATGATGAAGAAGAAGAATGGAGAAAGGAAGGAGAGGGAATGATGAAGAAGAAGAATCGAGAGAGGAAGGAGAGGGGATGATGAAGAAGAAGAATGGAAAGAGGAAGGAGAGGGGATGATGAAGAAGAAGAATAGAGAGAGGAAGGAGAGGGGATGAGGAAGAAGAAGAATGGAGAGAGGAAGGAGAGGGGATGATGAAGAAGAAGAATGGAGAGGGGATGATTAGGAAGAAGAATGGAAAGAGGAAGGAGAGAGGATGATGAAGAAGAAGAAGGGGGGAGGGTAGAAAAAGAAGGGAGAGAGGACGTGGAAGAAGAAGAATGGATAGAGGAAGGAGAGGGGATGATGAGGAAGAGGAATGAATAGAGGAAGAAGAGAGGATGAAGATGAAGAAGAATGGATAGAGGAAGGAGAGGGGATGATGTAGAAGAAGAAGGGGGAGGGTAGAAGAAGAAGGGAGAGAGGATGTGGAAGAAGAAGGATGGGTGGGAGGGGGGGGTCGATTATAGAGAACATGGTACAAGAACCAAATCAGCTGAGGGAGACCGGAGGCTTGAACCTCTACCAGCCTCTAACTGTTGATCAACAGCCTCGTATACATATAGTTATTTTGTAAATACATTCATCTAGCCTCGTATCCAATATAGATATAGTTATAATGTGAATACATACAATTGCTTTACACAGTGTACAGTGATAAAAGTAACATTAAAAGGACCATTAATTGTTTACAGGTTTGGCTATCATGTATAATAGGGTAAAAAATAGCCTAAAACTTTAAGTAAAGCCGATGTGTCACCGTTATCAGTAAAACCGTTATCAGCTTGAATATTGAGATCAAAATTGGTATTTTACTTAAAATATTTTACAGAAATCATGAGAAGAGAGTAAATAGTTCAATTATAATAATATAATAAAAGTAAATAAGAATATTCAAATCGATAAAAAGGAGAAATTAAAACCGTCTTGCATTTAATATCTTATTTTCAGAAGATGAATTAGAAGCAATAAGTGTTATGGCGTTGAGTTCTACTCTACAATTGACACTGCTACTGGGTCTCTGCAGTCTTGGGTCAGCACTTCGGCAGATATACCTGGCAGGAACCTTTCCAATCCAGGTAGTTAATTAGATTTTTCCTTTCCAATCCAGGTAGTTGTTTAGATTTTTCCTTTCCAATTCAGGTAGCTCTTTAGATTTTTACTTTCCAATCCAGGTAGCTCTTTAGATTTTTCCTTTCCAATCTAGGTAGCTGTTTAGATTTTTACTTTCTAATCCAGGTAGCTCTTTAGATCTTTACTTTCCAATCCAGATAGTTGTTTAGATCATTTTAATTCAAATAACAGTCCCTTTAAACCTCTAAATACCTAGGGATCTGATGGGTGGCAGGGTGGCCAGGCTTGTCTGCCCGCAGCGCAGCTAGCTCTGGAGGATGTGAACAAGCATCCTGATTTACTACGAGGATACCATCTTAATCTAGCAGCTAAAGATGATATGGTAGGTTCAAAAATAGAGCTATTTTAGGCTAATCTTAGTTTTTTGAGGACTGCAGTTGGGATTACACGCGAGTATAGATGTGAACAGGTAATGCCCCCCAGACAGATATATATTTAATATTATAGAATTCAGGNTAGTCTGCCTATAAAATATTTCCCTGGTTCGACCTTATGCCACATTTCGATATATTTAATATTTTATGTATTATTAAATGATCGAAAATAAATGCTTGATTGTATAATGTAAGCTACATAAATTACTTTTTCAACTTTTAATTACTTTTCAACTTTTATAAAGAGGTGACTCTGCAGATTCAATAAAAATTGGAAAATTCCATTAATTTTTATCATGAAATTCAGTTAAGAAAAATATATCATAAGGGAATTTTAAGAATTGAATAAAGGAACTGAGTTCTTACCACAAACTTAATATTTCTAATCCCAGCATCTTTGCAACTTGATGATTCTTTGATATTTCAAACTTAGACTGTTTAAACTAACAAAATTCATAGTTTTAAATATCCAAGGTCTAAGACATCGGGTTACATCGGATTACAGGGATTTAAAAATCAGAGTTTGTGATGAGAACTCACAGTTCCTTTTACAACCTATTTGTACATTTTTGTTGTGATTAGTGTGATAGTGGCCTGGGGGCATACGCACTCTATGAACTTATTTACAAAGCGCCACAGAAGGTAAAATAACATTTTTTAACATTTTTAGCTTTTATTCATCTTAAAAAAGAAGTGTAGCCAAAATAAAATGGGGTTTTTAATACATTATAATTCAATAATACACCTTGTCCGACATTTTACAGAAACATCGGATGGTAATAAAGATAAAAAACAATTAAATAACAATTCGATTATATTTCATTCTTTACCACCTTTAATTTCGCGAACAATCCCTTTATAACTTAAAAACCCTATTACACTTTATTATTTAAAATCTTTGAAATTGGTGCGTTGACTCTGCGCAGATAAGTACAGAAGGAAGCTGATAATAAAGTTTAGGAGGCAATTGCGCATGTTGTTAAACTGCACGTGCACAAGCACAAAGAATTTGATTTGAACAGTGCTGAAAGTACACAGATATTCATACGTTAAATAGTTCAAATTTTTTTAAATTCTGCTTTTTTACAGTCAAAATATCTTAAAAGAACTGAACAAATGTCTCAAGCTGTAATTTTTTTAATCCCTACATCTGATATGATGTAACCGGTTGATATTTCAAACACTTGAATATTTGATCTTGCAGAATTTTTTGCTTGAAATATCAACGGTCTACGACATCAGGTTTCACAAATATAGGGATTAGAAAATTTAGATTTGAGACCTGTATTTGAACAGTTTCAAAGTTATAACAGTTACAAGTTAATCAGAAACAATGATTCCGTAATTTAGTCGTTTACACTGCTTAAGAAGTATAAAAAGTTTAAATTATGAGTTTATATTCTTAATTATGAAGTTTTGATTTCTGTACAGATTTTTAATGTGTATGCAACCTTTACGCTGTGGCTAGAATTTGATTTGTTTAGTTAATGATTTTATCTGGTTGTTCAACCGTTTGCACGACTCTAGCTGAAGCTGCTTCACAATGGAACCTAATCACTGTTTGTTATGGAGCTTCCAGTCCAGCCCTCTCCAATAGGAACAGGTATACAAGATCACTGTATATTATGGAGCTTGTACTGTATATTATGGAGCTCTATCCCTCTCCGATAGGAACAGGTATACAAGATCACTGTATATTATGGAGCTCTATCCCTCTCCAATAGGAACAGTTATACAAAATCACTGTACATTATGGAGCTGTATCCCTCCCCAATAGGAATAGTTATACAAGATCACTGTACATTATGGAGCTGTATCCCTCCCCAATAGGAACAGTTATACAAGATCACTGTATATTATGGAGCTGTATCCTCTTTAATAGGAACAGGTATACAAGATCACTGTACATTATGGAGCTCTATCCCTCTCCAATAATAACAGGTATACAAGATCACTGTATATTATGGAGCTGTATCCCTCTCCAATAGGAACAGGTATACAAGATCACTGTACATTATGGAGCTCTATCCCTCTCCAATAGGAACAGGTATACAAGATCACTGTATATTATGGAGCTGTATCCCTCTCCAAAGCTACTGATGGGCACCGGGTTGATGTCCGATTTTGAATATTGCAAGTTTTTAGATTTTTATGAGGCTCTGCAACAAAGATATTAACAATATTAATATCAGCAAAGATATTAACCAAAACGATTTTTCATAAAGATTAGAAAATTGATTTTCGTTTTTCGTTTTGAAAAATTTGTTTTGGTAGATATCTTTGCTCAAAAATAAAAAGTTCGCATAATGTCCTTATGTGCTTTAAATTAAATTAATAACTTACTTTTTTTTGAAACACTGTTATCGTTAAAAAACATAAATGTCTCAAAATGATGCCCATGCACTACTCAAAGCCTCTCCTCCCTCAGATCTATAACCATTATCTCAATCTCTAATTATCCATCTATCTATCCATATCTCAGTCTTTTTTTGCAGGTTTCCCACCCTGTTCCGAACCCACCCTTCTGCTACAGTACATAATCCGACCAGGGTTACCATGTTTAAGAAATACAAGTGGCAAAGAATTTCTGTTATACAGGTTCTATTTATAATTATTTTATCAAATTTTGCTTAATCAATTAATCAAATTCCTGCTTTTTAATTGTATTTATTTGCAAACAGCTTAAATGTGGGGGGAAACATCTCAATAAGTATTTTAAAAACTTTTAACACGAGAGACTGTTTAATATGTATTTTCCAGGGAGCAAGGAATAGAAGGGAGAGACAACTGACGCGGTTCGCCCTACCATATGATTATACATGCTTTGCAGATGGTACTCCATTTTATATCGAGCTGTTTGATTTTTTAGTAGGGCCCCACAGGAAAAATATGTATTGGCTCAATTTTCTTTCACCAGTTTCGCCAATACATATTTTTCCTGTATATTTATGAATGATAAAAATTTTAAAAAATGTGTTTTAAAGATTTTTAATTTGGTAAACAATTTAAATTCTTGAAAATCCGCATATTTTTTTTAAATCCGCCAAATTTTTTTCTTCTTTGTTTTAAAATGTAAACAAAAAGAACATGTTCACAATTTAAATAGAAGATGGGCGCGAAGCGCCCTTAAAAGCCTAGTATAATTATAAGTTGCAATGAAAAAGTTAATGATGAATTTTAAATATATATCTATATATAAATTTGGCTTGTTTGTCTGTTTGTCTGTCTGATTGTATCCAATAAACGTCAAAACGACTGAACCGATCGGGCCCAAATTTTTTGTGGGACATCTAGGGACTCCAGGGAAGGTTTATGAATGATTGAAATTTTAAATATTTGTCTACATCAAAATTCGATCGTCATTAAATTTTTTAAAATTTTGAAAATCCGCGAAATTTTTTGTGAAAATCCGCGAATTATTTTTGTTTTGTTTTACGATGTACACAAAGAGAACATGTTCACAATTAATTTAGAAGATGGGCACGAAGCGCCCTCTAAGGCTAGAAAGAAGGGCGCGAAGCGCCTTGAATTTCTAGCCTATATATAAATTTGGCTTGTCTGTGTGTTTGTCTGTTTGTTTGTTTGTATCCAATAAACGTCAAAACGGCTGAACCGATCGGGCCCACATTTTTTGTGGGACATCTAAGGACCCCAGGGAAGGTTTATGAATGATTGAAATTTTAAATATTTGTCTCCATCAAAATTCGATCGTCATTAAATTTTTTTAAAATTTTGAAAATCCACGAAATTTTTTGTGAAAATCCGCGAATTATTTTTGTTTTGTTTTACGATGTACACAAAGAGAACATGTACACAATTAATTTAGAAGATGGGCGCGAAGCGCCCTCTAAGGCTAGTATAATAAAATTCTTGAAAATGGTCCAACATAAGTTTGATCTGAAATCCGCGAAATCTTTTTAGAAAATTCATCTTTGAAACCTTCGAATCCTCTCAATTTAAATTGGTATCTCACTTATTATTGAAATATCTGAACAGTTCCATTAATTGTTTTAATCTTGAAGGAGGCGGAGGAAGTATTCGCCACAACCCTGGACAATCTAGAACAGCAAGCCAAGGCGGAGAATATTGAAATATTTAACCGGCAAATATTCAAGGACGATCCTAGCGCAGCAATTCAAAATCTTAAACGTCAGGTAGTAAAAGTAGTAATAATAACATCTATAATGATGATGATAATGATAATAATTATATCAAAAATGATAGTGATGATGCTATAAATAATAATAATGATAATAATAATGATGATGATGATGATGATGAGGATGATGATGATGATAATATTTATAATAATAACAATAATAATCATGATACTAAAATAACCTGTATCCTAGGATGCTCGAATAATAGTTGGATTATTCTACCAGAAGCCGGCAAGGAAGGTTCTCTGTGAAATCTACAAAAAGAATATGTTCGGTCCTAAATATGTTTGGTTTTTCATTGGTAAGTCGGGGAACATTTAGTCTGCTTTTGGAGCTGAAATATATTATTTTTGAAATAAGATTTCTTTAGACAATACAAATTTTCAAAATTTTTTTAAAAGATTTTTTTCGACCAACTGAAAGCAATTAAAATTATTATAGATTCTGGGAAAATGAAGACGACATTTCTATCCGAATAGTTTAACCATTTCAAAAGAACTAAAATATATAATACATCGGATAAGGAGTTTTTGAGTTTGGATATTTGTAAAACTTGATTAATTCCATTGCGTAAATCTGTAAATGAATTTAAATTTCATGGCGGGAATATACAGGAATAGATAATTACGAAATAGTTTTGAGGGATTAGAGGTTCCAATGTCAGACAGCTAAAGTTAAACCGTCAGAAAACACTAAATACCCCCCCCCCCCCAACACCCCTCCCCACCCCTGAAAAAATCTGTTACCCTCGTCAAATATCGATATTTAGGTTGGTATGAAGACGACTGGTTCAAAAGAAAATCCTACCTGGATGAGGAAAATATAGAGTGTACACAAGAACAGATGATGATGGTAAAATCATTTTTTTAAATCAAAATTGAAGTAAAAAGGGTAAAAAGAAATCAATGAGTTAAGATTTAGGCATTAGATCTTGGATTGATTTTATAGAAGTAAATTGGTAACCAAACTTTGCTTGGAGATTAAATTTTTCCCATAAAAGTCTTCCCACTGAACTTCGAGGTTTTAAACTAAGCTAATAATATTCCTTTCACAAGTTCCCATATGCAAATACGAGACAACTCGGTGAAGAGGTTCATAAGTTATGTACACCCTGTTCCAATAAACATTGGAATTAAGAGACGAATTCGAAATCGTCTTTGTAAAGAATTAGCGTTGTGTTACCTAATTTCAATGGTAAAAATAAAGTTACGTCAGCTAGAGTATATCTTACAGTTTTATTTCCGCCAGAAAACAGAAACAGAGGAAATTTCTGGAAATAAAATATGTCAGGACTCAGGGACTGTAGATGCAATTTCCAGGGACCTCCCAATTCGAAAAAGAGTGGCATTTCGATTCACAATAACGCCCTAGTTGAATCCTAATTTGAGTTTTAATGAGGAAGATATTGTCGTTTTTCTTACTTTAGAATTCTGAAGGCACAGCAAAATTCGGCAGTTCACAAATTTGAGAAACCAAAATTCAATATTATCAATTTGCAGCTCAAGAAATAAGGATCTTTCGATCATTCTTAATCAGACAATTGTTAAAGGCAATTGTGAATATATAAAAGGATGGTAACTTAAAATTACGTCTTCAGTCTCTTTACATAATTTTCTTATATCTTTATATTTTAATCCTTATCAGGCTGCAGAGGGACATTTTACAACTGAAGCTTTGATGTGGAATCATAACTCAGAAGAGGTGACAGCCTCAGGTAAAAATATGTCGTCTTCACAAAATTTTAGGATGACGACATTTTTGAGAATTAATTCTTATTTATTCTTAAGGACGAACTGTTTCAAGGTTCAACGACTCTTTACTCAGTAAACTTAGGGAGGATCCAAGGTAACTAATTCATCAATTGATCAGTGGTTAATTTCATGATCAATTAATTGATTTCCTGGTTAATTGATTCATTTCTTAGTTAAATAATTAAATAATTTATTTATTGTTGCTTATTTTCTTGAAAAGTTTATTGAGCTTTTGAGTTTTTGATTGATTTAAAAAAATTGTTTGTTGATTGATTTCTCATTTTATTATTTATTGATAGATTTATTTATCATTTGATTTTTTGATTTATTGATTTATTAATACATTTTTTATATTTTATATTTTATATATCTTTTAATAGTTTGATCTAGTTATTTATTTATTAATTGTTTAACCGTTTGATTAGGAATTCTTTCATAAGGAAAATTATACCTTCACTTTAATTTCTCGGGCAGATCTATTTTTTTACTGTACCATTTCATGGGACACCATGGAATGCGGGATTTTTATTACAATTACTTTAATATTTTGTTAGCAGGGGTCGGACCAAGTTTTTCATATTTACTGTGTATGACAGTAAGCTGATTTTAATCCAGGATAAATTGTATTTAGAGAGATGGTAGTTAGAATACAATACATTTAGTCCTCAACATTTTGATCTTCTGACCCCTCCTGACCCCTCCTGACCTTCCGGACCCCTTGACAGATTTTCTAAGGATATGCTATTTGTTTATACATAGAGTACATGCAAATAGATAGATAGATAGATAGATAGATAGAAGTCCAAACAGCTGAACCAAATTCACAGATTCAAGCAACGTCAAAACGATAAACAATGGCAACATCTCTTGTACACGAAAAAAAAGTTTTTCATACTCACCGTACTAAATACGTGGATACATTTCTAATGCCTAATCTTTTATTGGGACAATCTTTGCCATATTTCATTTTGCATTCAGAGATAAGAATAGTAATTTGGTTAAAATCCATTAAATCTTGAGTTTACTTTAACTTACTGAATTGTAAATACATGTTTATATCCCTATATAGAGAGTATAAACCAACGTAATATTCCTTCGTTGGTTTAAAGACTACCCTGAGCTAGGAATAGAACCAGGAGTAAAAACTTTTTATCTTGGGATTTACCGGCTTTACTCTCTGATATTCTGCTCTAGTCTAGGCATCACTAGGAGCAATAGTCTGGTCTTCATGTTTAAATATAAAGATATCTCAATAGTCTGGTCTTCTGGTTTAAATATAGAGATATCTCAATAGTCTGGTCTTCTGGTTTAAATATAGAGATATCTCAATAGTCTGGTCTTCTGTTTTAATTTAGAGATATATCAATAGTCTGGTCTTCTTGTTTAAATATAGAGATATCTCAATAGTCTGGTCTTCTGGTTTAAATATAGATATATCTCAATAGTCTGGTCTTCTGATTTTAATTTAGAGATATATCAATAGTCTGGTCTTCTTGTTTAAATATAGAGATATCTCAATAGTCTGGTCTTCTGGTTTAAATATAGAGATATCTCAATAGTCCGGTCTCCTGGTTTTAATTTAGAGATATCTCAATAGTCTGGTCTTCTAGTTTAAATATAGAGATATCTCAATAGTCCGGTCTTCTGGTTTAAATATAGAGATATCTCAATAGTCTGGTCTTCTGCTTTAAATATAGAGATATCTCAATAGTCTGGTCTTCTGGTTTTAATTTAAAGATATCTCAATAGTCTGGTATTTTGGTTTAGATATAAAAATATCTCATTTGTGTGGTCTTTTGGTTTAAATATAGAGATATCTCAATAGTCTGGGCTTCTAGTTTAAATATAGAGATATCTCAATAGTTTGGTCTTCTGGTTTAAATATAGAGATATCTCAATAGTCTGGTCTTCTGGTTTTAATTTAGAGATATCTCAATAGTCTGGTTTTTTGGTTTAGATATAAAGATATCTCAATTGTCTGGTCTTCTGGTTTAAATATAGAGATATCTCAATTGTCTGGTCTTCTGGTTTTAATATAGAGATATAATAGTCTGGTCTTCTGGGTTAAATTTAGAGATATTATCATAAAGATGTTTGATACTTAATTTCATGAATAATCAACCCAAATCTGAAATATTCGAAATTATAAATTTGATGTTCGTTCGTCAAAGCAATCCAATAAATTCAACTGTTTATAATTGAATATAAAAATGTATCGTGACAGCACTATAGAAAATGAATTTAAAAGGTCTCCTACAATTATAAGTATAAAAGTCTTTATTTTTAAAACTTCTTATAAAAAAATTGATGGTTTTTAGGTGAGACTATTTTCTCTTTTATGGGAATTTTTAGGTGTTTTGATCTAAAACTAAAGTTAGTTCTACGATAAATCAATTCCTTGATTGCCCGGATCTTTAAAAGCTCCTTTTAAATCAGGAATTTTAAGAGTGTCCTGATTTGAATATTAGGTGCGTTTTATTGATTTTAAAACTCAGCTGATTGGTTTTTACGTTCCCAGTTTGTTCAACCTCATGTAGGTTTACACCACTGCCCGCCTGCCTTTTTGCAGTGTAAGCAAAGATTGCGAATGGTTTTAAGGAGGGTTTAATACCAAACTAAAGCCTGAAACTGATGGGCATGATATATATTTATATATATATATATATATATTTCTATATATCAGTGAAAGAACATAAAATAAGCAAAATTTTAAAAAATCAAATAAGGAAAGTTTGACATTCCTGAAAAAAAGGAAAAACTCTAACTACATAAAAACTATGAGCTAAGAAAACTACTCAATGAAAATGTAAGCGTTACAGAAGAATACAATGGTCTGCGGCGTAGAAGATAAAAAGTTCCAATAAGGTTTTTATCTCTGTTCTCCCCTTTGCTTTGTAATACTCTAATCCTACTTATGTCTACTTGTCAAACATGAAAATTTAAATTGAATTTAGAGAAATTTATAGAGCTGACTACCTCAAGGTTCAGCTTAAAGTGGAAAATAATTAGCTCATAGTTTAACAGAGCTAAAATCAAGGTTCCATAACTCATACCTTAACATTGCTGAGTTGGCTGAGATCAAAGTTCCAAAGCCAAGCTCATAGTTTAACAAAGCTGAGAATAAAGTTCCATAGTTTAACAAAGCTGTAATCAAAGGTCTATTGACAAGCTCATAATTTAACATAACTGAAATCAATGGTCCATAAATGAGCTCATAGTTTAACAGAGCTGTAATCAAAGGTCTATTAATAAGCTCATAATTTAACACAGCTGAAATCAAAGGTCCATAAATGAGCTCATAGTTTAACATAGCTCAAATCAAAGGTCTATTAATAAGCTCATAATTTAACATAGCTGAAATCAATGGTCCATAAATGAGCTCATAGTTTAACATAGCTGAAATCAAAGGTCCATAGCTCGTTGACAATAATGTTCTAGGTACGCTGATATGCTGAGTAAGATTAATGTTCTAGGTACGCTGCTATGCTGAGTAAGAATAATGTTTTAGGTACGCTGCTATGCTGAGTAAGATAAATGTTCTAGGTACGCTGCTATGCTGAGTAAGAATAATGTTTTATGTACGCTGCTATGCTGAGTAAGATTAATGTTCTAGGTATGCTGCTATGCTAAGTAGAATTAACGTTCTAGGTACGCTGCTATTCTAAGTAAGAATATTGTTCTAGGTACTCTGCTATACTGAGTAAGAATAATGTTCTAGGTATGCTGCTATGCTGAGTAAGAATATCATGCCTGAGGGATATCTTGAGGCACCTTTAGCCTACGATGCTGTTTGGGCGATGGCTGTAGGTAAATACCTTTATATATATATATATATATTTTGTAAATATAATACATTCTTATTCCTTTCCCGAGCTGTATCCCCGTATTTTAGGATTCCTGTATTCCTGTATCCGGCCCTGTACGTGGCTGTGTCCCTGTTATAGAACCCATGTATACCTTTATCTCTGTATCTCTGTATCTCTGTATTCCTGTGCCCATGTATCCTTGTAATTCTGTTTCCCAAAACCTTGTACCTACGATCCTGCTCCTGCTAGCCAGTCTTTTTTTGCTCTTTATTCTCGGTTACTTTCCTTGTAAAAATCAACTCACTCAATGAACAGACAGACAAGCAGAGATTACTACTTTATATATGTATATTATACTAGCTTGGAAACCCAGCACTGCCCAGGTTACATACAGTTACTCCCGCATAGAATCTCAAAACCAAACTATGAACATTCTTATGGCTCTCCCGAGGTCCCCAATCAAAATTTGAGGCAAATTGGTCCTGGGGTTCCTGAGTTATGATCGAAAAAATAAAAAAAAACAGACAGAGATTACAACCATACATTTATAGATATTATTTATAGATAGTATGTATGTATATATTATCTAGATTTTCTATCCTTCTTTACATCTATCTACCTACCTATCTATCTATAATATGATATATATGTCTCTGTCTGGCCATGTATCAAGAAAATTATTGAAATTATATCGAAGCATGCAAAACCTAAATGGCTACCATGGATATTGAGTTTGAATTTAACCAGGACAGGGTGGATAAAGGGATACAAAGTAAATATTTTTTCTAGAAAAAACGACCTTCAATCAGGCATACCGCATGATTTTTATTTCAAAAATCAAAAGAATTTTTGGATTTTCTGTTCCTTTTTTGTTTTTGGTACACCCTGTACTCTGCAGTCTGCAATCCAATGATAAATGATGCTTTGTGTTGATTGGATTAATGCAGTTTTATAAATCCTACTCGATTCCTACGTGACAGCCTTGATATTTAAAAACTGCATTTTGAACTTCATTTTATAGAAGATGGTGACGTTGCTTACTCATATTATTTGGTTTCTTTAGTTTTATTTAAATGAGGGAGGGAGGGTCAGACTTCACAGAGCATGCAAATTTACATTCCGAGCCAACATTTACACCATTTGACTCCGTGCCCCTTTGATTGGGAAAAAAGGGGGGCACTTTGTAAAATCCCCCCCCCCATGGGTCCTTGTATCAATTTAACGATAGAAATAGATGAAGCTGGTTCTGGGTTGAATATATACAAAAACATCTTCCCCCCTCTTATTTCCAAACCACCCAAATTAATTTTGTTCTTTTTGGGGAGAGTTAGTAATTCATAGTAATTGATAAAAATAGTTGGGAAAATCGTTCTATTGATATACTAACATACAATTGATGCACATAAGATTATCTTTGAATACTACTGCTGGAGTTTATTATTAATATATTTCCAGCTTTGAATACTACTGCTGGAGTTTATTATTTTTCCAGCTTTGAATACTACTACTGGAGTTTAGTATTAACATATTTCCAGCTTTGAATACTACTGCTGGAGTTTATTATTAATATATTTCCAGCTTTGAATACTACTGCTGGAGTTTATTATTGAAATATTTCCAGCTTTGAATACTACTACTGGAGTTTAGTATTAACATATTTCCAGCTTTGAATACTACTGCTGGAGTTTATTATTAATATATTTTCAGCTTTGAATGCTACTGCTGGAGTGCTTGAAGCTAGAGGGATGTCCCTGGACGACTACAACTACGACAACAAGGCTGTCGCTGACATCATGCAGGAGCAGATGGAGTCCGTTAAATTCCTTGGAATCTCTGTAAGATAATTTTTATTAATTGTACTGAGACCGAATGAATTTGAGCCGCGTCTCAAATCCCCCCAAAACCGGTTTCAATTGAAGGCCAGCTTAACTCTTGAAACATTGAATACGATTTTAAGTGGAACCCACCATATTTGACTTTAAGCCGCGACTCAGGCTCAAATTCTTTAAGTTCGGCCTCTGCACACGTTATTTTCCTTGATCCTTCTTCAGATTGTGAATAATTAACGGGATGCTTAACTAAATACCAATTGCTTTATAGCTTGGGAACCCAGCTTTGCCACGGTTTAATCATACCTAGTTTTTTTTATTTTAAAAAAGCTTTAAGAAGAAGTTTACAGATGTTCAAAATCAAATATATTATCCCATCTGGAAAATTTCAACATTCCATGAAGCTGAATTGTTTTGCTAAAAACATTATAAAAAATAAATATGATATATGCTGAAATATCTTGCTGGTTGTTTGAGCTAAAAAAGTTAGGGGATTGCAAACCATTTGTTCCTGCGTTTTTCTCATTATTCAAACTATTGTTCTTGAAATACACAAGTTGCAGTTTTGGGGCCTCAGCTTCAAGGAATGTAAATGGAAAGAAGGTGGGTAAATGTAAAGTAAATGTAAGGAATGTAAAGGGAAAGAAGGTTGGTAAATGTAAAGTAAATGTAAGAAAAAAATGGAGAGAAGATTGGTAAATATAATGTAAATGTAAGGAATGACATTGTAAGATGGTAGAGTAGAATCAATATTTTTTATTGTTAGCAACCGGTATAAAATTGTAAAAGGAATTGAGTCTTTGCCGCAAAATCTAATTTTCTAATCCCTATATCTTTGCAACCTTATGATGTTAACCTTTAATACTTAAAACTTAGAATATTTGACCTAACAGAATTCAAACGTTAAAATATCCAAGGTCCACGACATTGGATTTGTCAAAAATATTTAAATTTTGAAATTAATATTTTTATGGAACTTGTTCTTGTATATCTTTGAAATGATTCAATTTTACCAAAAATGTTTTTTTAAATTTTTTCCCCCATTTCAGGGTTCTGTAGCGTTTAGTGAAGAGACTGGAGATAGAATGGCCTGGACTAAGATTGAACAGCTCATCGACCATAAGTAAGAGATTTGGACAAAATATCATAAAATTTCATTTAATGATTTATTGATAAACGTTGATTTATACTGTGGGACTCATTAAACTGTGGAATAGGAAGACGACTGATAGGTCAGAGTACCGCAGATTACTGCAGAACGCATTGAAAGATTAGTGAAGTGTGTCAAGTTAATTGTTAAATAACACGAAAAACAGCAGTTGTAAAGTGTGCACTGTGTTACAACTACACAGACCCATTTCACTTAATAAGTTGATTTGCATGATACTGGTAACACTATTGCTTAATGACATCAAATATTTATAAGATTGCTGAAATGTCGTCTTCCTATTGCACTGTATAAGAGGAATTGACTTAAATCTATGTTTTATCTCTGTGGCTTAGAAAAAAATGAAGAAAAAAGAATAAAATTTATTATTTTGCATCAAACTGTTAATTTGATTAACATGACTGAATGTAACTTTTTAAAATAATCCTGCATATGTTACAGTGAGAACCATAAAAGTATGGAAGAGGAAGACGAGTTTAGACTCAATTTGAAATAGTCCGTTGAACAATGAGACACATCAATATTGACAAACACACAGACCGTTTCAATTTGAAATAGTATATTTTGTATATTTTGTATATTTTGTATATTTTTTAATGTACCACTGTGCCAAAGTGGTAGAAAAATGAGTATCATGGGTCGGAAAAGTGTCCCAAAGAGCTGTAAAAATATAATCACTCTTTTCTTTCTTTTGAATCCCTTAAAATATAATTTTACTGTAATTTAGTTAATATCCCCGCTATTCTGTTGAAACATCTGAAAATGTTTTAAATACCCCCGTCAGTCCTACAATCAGTGTATGTTTTGAAAACTCATCTTGAAATTATTAATATTTGGAAGCTTTTACGATTCGACTAGTCGGCCGAGTGATGAATTTATGGCCGGATTCTGCAAGTTCATATTGGTTTTTGACGAAACTAAAATTCAGAGAGAAATTTAAATTATTATTCGCTTTTACTCTCAGTTTCATTGCGGACAGTCGTTAAACTTTGGGCCGTTATAGTTCGTGTTTTATTCAACAGGGTGCCTAAAAAAATATTTTTAAAAAAAATTAAGAAAAAAAATCAAACTGTCAAAATGTTTATTTATTTTTTAATCCATGTTTTACTTCAGAACTAAAGCTCGGTTATTAAACTTTTCAAAATATAATTTTTCTCTATTTTAGATACTTTACCGAAAAAAAAAACTTTTTCAGCATAACTTTAACTCGTCAATTAAAATTTGCCCTAAACGATGCACGTCAGTGTCCTATATTATACTTTGAACTTTGTCTATTTGATCCATCAGAATTCAAAATTTGAAATATTAGGTCTTGCACGACATCGGGTTGTAAAGATGTAAGGGTTAAAAATCAGAGTTTGTGACAAGAGCTCAGTTATATTGTTTGTGAATCCGTTTAATTCCGCGAGTAGAAGTAAAACTCTGTAATCCATGTAATTTTTTTATCGTAACGAAAAAATCTCTCAACAAAACATATAGTCAAACTTATCATTTTAAAATCGTGTTTCATAATGATTTTGGCCTTTTTATACTCATTAAAGGTAAAAGCTTCAAATGAGGGGGAGGGGGTTTCATGTCAATTTAAAGAGTAAAGCTGTCAATTACTGAACTGTTTACATATCCTAATACTAAATATTAAAGGGAGTGTTCGTGAAAAAAAGAAAAATTTGAAATCTTTTATTGCAAAAAATTCCTTTTTAACTGCAATATATTAATTATGGGGATTTCACTTGACTATGTGTTGAACAGTTTTTTACAATTATCATTATCATTAAAATGTCAGATAAAAAAAAAATACAAATCGATTACGAATTCAAATCAGGATTTTTTAGCCTTTAACCCCTTTAATTTTTCACGAACACTTCTCCCCGTATTCTTGTAGTTTACGGCCTTCATGTTGATATAAGANACTTATTCAAGTTCTAATATTTTCACCAATTTTGGGGAAAAAAAAATTATACCAAAAAAATTTCAAAATTTTTCCTAATTATCTAACTTATTTAAAAGAATGATAAAAAATTTTAATAAGTATTTTTTTCCCGTGTTCTGAAACTTTATGTATGTCTAAATGTTCTCACATCTTGAGATGTCAAAACGTCTCATATAATCCCGAACAAGTTTGTTTTTCTTGATAAAACATACAGATTACAGATTGGGCAAATATACAAAAAAAAACTTCTTCTCAAGACTGTGTTTAAGATTTTTTTATTAAAAGAAGTTGCATTTTTAGCTGACTTGTACAAGAGAGAGAGGCAAATGAACGACTCATTAAAAATTTTAAATCGATTAGTCTATTCAAAGGAATTGAGTTGTTGCCACAAACTCTGATTTTCTAATCCCTATATCTTTGCAACCCAATGCCGTAGACCTTAGATATTTCAAACTATGAATAGTCATAGATCAAACAATCTAAGTTTGAAATATTAAAGGTTTACACAGTCAGCTTGCAAAGATATAGGGATTAGAAAATTAGAGTTTGTGGCAAAAACTCAACTACTTTCAGAGAATTTGATATTACCCATCTGCCACAGATACCAATAATTCAGTGGCTTAGCCTTGCATTGCTTTTCAAAGAATGTTAGGGGATGGTAGCGGACTTTTTTTTTGTGCAACCTCGAGTGAATATCTTAAACTACATGAACCTGAAAAATCACAAGGTTGCCGACAAATGTTAGGGGGCGGGGTACAAGACGAGCTTGGAGAGGACGGGGTAAATTTTTTCATCAAATGAAAATAAAAAATAGAACACGGTTTATTATATGGTTATTCATTTTTGGCAAACTTTCCCTTTTATTGATCTGTTGATTTCTTTCTCAATAATTATAAACTCATTGTCTCCAACTAAATCCAAATCAAAACTAACTAGAAGTATACTTTTTTTAAACATTTTGATATTTATGTTCGTCTCGAAGTATCTATTAACAAATGATTGAAGAAACGAAACTATTAAAAATCGCTAGAACCGAATAAAAATGGCAAAAAAAGTCAAACGAAGAAGCGCAACAAAAACGTTTAAAAGATAAGGCTAAAAATGAATGTATAATAGGTTAAATTGTAATAGAAAGTCACAGTCGTCTCAGCTTAGTGGGATAAGGACCGAATTGTTAAATTAGCGTAAACTAAAGACAGAAACATATTTTCGGAAAAATGTGCATTCAATCTTTTTTTGTGATTGAAAAATCAAAACCAAGTTTTAAATTTGATAATAGTGTTGATGAAGGTAAAGAGCTGATAGTCTGGAAGAGTGGGAAACCTCCTCAGGATCGAACTATTATCCTCCCTGATCTCCAGACGGTCAGCCCCGGCCTCTACCTGCCTCTACTGGGCTTCAGCCTCCTCGGTATTATTATTGCGATCTGCCTCCTGGTCTTCAACAACAAGTTCAACTATAGGAGGTTACTTAATATATGCTCGTAATCCCGATTGCTTGATCTCGATATCCAAAGTAAACAATTTTAATTTAATCTCTTGATTTTAATTATCCTTTTAAGGTAAAATTACACTGAGAGTATGAAATAAAGATTAAATTAATTCATGGATTCCTAGAAACCGATTTCCATGGAATAATGTGCGTCCGAAAATTACAGGGTTTTCAATAAAACTGACATCGCAGAATTATTTTGTTCAAGAAACCATTAAAAATACAGATTTCATTGATTTTTTCTTTTCAGGATTATCATGTACTCTCATCCAAGCTGCAATAATCTAATCTTGATGGGAATAATCCTTTGCCTTCTAGCAACTATACCATTGGGAATGGATATACAATGGGTAAGTTAGAATCACAATGGGAATAATCCTTTGCCTTTGTGCCACTATACCATTGGTATGGATATTCTATGGGTAAGTTAGAATCACAATGGGAATAATCCATTGCCTTTGTGCCACTATACCATTGGTATGGATATTCTATGGGTAAGTTAGAATCACAATGGGAATAATCCATTGCCTTTGTGCCACTATACCATTGGTATGGATATTCTATGGGTAAGTTAGAATCACAATGG